TTTATAATCCTCTCATCTCTCTCACATATATTTATATATATATATATATATATATATAAATATATATATATATATATAAATGAGCTACTCATAAATTCTTAATGTCAAACTTTTAATGTTTAGGTTCAACTTATTTAAATAATCAAACTTAGATTTATTTATTTAATTGAACGAATGAGTTTGAATGAGTAATTGATGAGTCAAGTTCAAATAATTCACAAATAGTTTGACTTATTTATATCCCAACTCTCAAGTGCCATAAATCTAGTTGAGTTTAACGAATTCGATTGACTTATAACGAATTTGATTAACTTATAACACATGATAAAAAGGACACTTGATTAAAGTATGTGTCGCATAAAAATCTTTGCAACACATTAAATTTTTTTATATCTTTACCGGATATTGAGATTTTCTTATAAAAATCTAATATAAGAAGGGTTTTACTTAATTTCTTTCTCTCACTTCCAAATCAATTTAGCATTGGCAAGGTTGGTCTTGAGGATAGTCTGAAAGTGCGATCCAGATCCATCACTAAGAAGAGCCTTTTTTTTAAAAAAATTATATAATTTTGAGATAAATATTTTATATTACTTTTGAAAATAAAATTATTTCATATATTTTTTTACATCTAAATATAAATTTGTTTTATGATTTTATATTCCTGTTATTTTTATTATTACTTTTTATGTAGTATATTTATTAAAGAGTAAAACATGTTTTTGGTTTTTATAGAATTTTTCAAATTTTATTTTAATTATTCATAATTTTGCCCTAATTTAATCACTTGTAATCCTCAAATTAATTTATATAGCACTTTATAATAAATGATAATATACAAATAAACTGAAAAATAATATAATGTATCTATTTTATATTTGTTAACATTATGTTGTGTATTTAGTGTAATAAAACATGTTATTTTTAATTAAATTATATATCTATTTTTATGTTATAAATGTTTATGTATAAAAATTTAAACCAACAAATCGTAGTTTGAGCAATATTAAACTCAACCTCCCTAAATAAGACATTGAGTAATCAAACAATTTTTTTTAACAAATATAAATCATTAATGAAATCAATAAATATCATACTAATTACACAATTATAAAAAAATATATATAAAAATTTATATTTATCATTTCTCCTATGACCCATAAAATATGAGGACCGTGCCTAGAGCATTGGAGTTCTTGCATATGGATCACCTCCAAAGCTAGCACCATGTATTCCATTGTCACATTATACAACCTCATCCTCACCACACAACATATACACAAAATTGAAGCGACAGGATAAACACTCCATTAAATTTATGAGAAATAAAATTTAAAAAATCATAACTTTACATATAAAATTATAAAATTTTAATGTAATATTTTCTTAAAATATTTTCTAACTTTAATTGTCAACTACTATAGTCACCATCATAGTAGTGATTGAATTAATACAGAAAATTCCTAGATTAATTTGAGCCATCCTAATCTTTCTTCTCAACTAATTACCTCCTATCCCAACAACTAAATACATTGTATATTTAAAACATTTAATATTTTCTTTATTTAAAATTAATGATCAATTAAATAAGAGCATTAAGAGAAGTAGTCAATTGCCAAAGACTTGTGTAAAACGAAAAGGCAAACATGTAAAATTGTTTTTTTAAAATTTATTTTTGGATTATGTCACCTTAATTTCTCCTCTATCCAAAGATAAAAGTCCTCACAGTTCGCACTTCACCATATCTTTGCAATTGAGAATTCAGGCCAATCACAGACTCGTTTGGAGAACTATAAAAATATAATTAACCCTTAAAAAATAAGATTGAGTTTGGCTGGGTCAATTTATTTTTAACTTAATTATTTTTGTTTTTATAAAATTTTTATTAAATTAATTTGTATTTTATCAATATAACATTTAATAATTATTACAATACTATATATATTATGGTAGGGGAAATTAAATTATTTTAAAATATTAAATTTTATTAATTTAGTAAATAAAAAAATTATACTTATTAACTATTACAAGAAAAAAATTCCAATTAATTTAAGTTTTTTTAAGAGACAAAAACACCTTTTTTTTAGAAAACAAAATTGAATTTACTAAAATATCAAACTTTGACACAAGATGTGTAAAAGTTTAGTGCAAAGATATATATAACAAATCCATAACATTACCAAAGAAAATAAATGTTTATATATATATATATATATATATATGATTCAATGATTCATGTTCTACATTAAATTTTAATGATCCAACCATTAATTTAAAAGTTTTTTGTGGATAGATCAAGTCTACAAATTTTAAAGTTTTGTAAAATTATTTGATACTTTGTTTTACTAATTCAAAACAATATATATAATATTTTTATGATTATTTATCAATTTGAATTAATGAAATAAAATATTAAATAATTTTTAAATTTTTTTTACAAACATGATCTATGCAATAAGAATTTTTAATTTAATAATTGAATCGTTAAAATTTAGCATAGAATACTAGTTGTTAAATGAAGTAAGTCTACAAAAATTTACTCTTATAGTAAGTGAAACCCTTCTACATGTACACACACACATATATATAGAGAGAGAGAGCAGAGATCTACTTACTCTAAGAGAGATTTGTTAGACTTACTTCATTTAGCAAAACTAGTGTTTTATATTAAATTTTAGTGATTTATCTGTTAAATTAAAATTTCTTACTAAATATAGATCATGTATGTAAATTTTAAAAAAATGAAAAATAATTCATATTTTGTTTCATTAATTCAAATTGATGAATAATCATAAAAATATTTTATACATTGATTTGAATTTAATAATAACAAAGTATTATATGATTTTAAATTTTCAAAAAAAATTGTAGACTTAATCTATTCATTAAGATTTTTTTAATTTAAAGGTTAAATTATTGAAATTTGATGTAGAATATGAGTTATTAAGTGCAATAAATATACTTAGCCTTACTCTTAGTAAATGGATCCCTCCACTCTTAAGGAGGGATCTAGCTACTCTAAGAGTAAGTTTGAATAGACTTATTACACTAATGTTCTACATCAAATTTGAATGATTCAATTATTAAGTTAAAAGTTTTTAATATATAAATCAAGTCTACGAATTTTTAAAAAATTTGAAAATTATATAGTATTTTATTTTATTAATTCAAATTGATGAATAATTATGAAAACATTTTATATGCTAATTTAAATCTATTAATAAGCCCTTAATGCCAAGTTATTAATGTTTGGGCTAACCTTATATAAATAATCAAACTTAATTTCAAATTTAGACTTATATACTTAATTAAATAAATGAGTACGAACTAAACTCAAATAATTCATGAATAGTTTGGTTCACATACACCCCAACTTCCCAGTTTCATAAACCTAATCGAGTTTAATAAATAAAGGACACCTAAGTAAGATTATGTGTGTGATAAAAAGCTTTGCAACACGTTAAGATTCTTGATATCTTTAATAGATATTGAGGCTTTCTTACCAAAACCTAATATAAAAAGCTCTACTTAATTTCTTTCTCTCACTTCGGAACCAATTTAGCATTGGAATCCTTACATATGCATCACCACCAAAGCTCAGCCATGCATTCCATTGTGCATTTCTATACAACGTCGACCTCACCACACAACATATACACAAAATTGGAGCGAAACGATAAATATTCCATTAAATTTATGAGAAATAAAAGAAAAAGATTCATAACTTTGCTTATGAAATTACAAAGTTTTAAATATAATATTCTCTTAAAATATTTTCTAACATTAATTATCTAACTACTATAGTCGTTGTCGTGATAGAAATTGAAATAATACCCAAAATTCCTAGATTAATTTGAGCAATTGAAATCTTTCCCCTCAACTTATTACCCCAACCCCAACCACTAAATACATTGTATATGTAAAACATTTAATATTTTCTTTATTTAAAATTAATGGTCAATTAAATAAAAGCATTAATTGAATTATTCAATTGCCAAAGACTTGTATAAAACGAAAAGGCAAACATTTTAATATTTTTTATTTTTTATTTTTAGATTATGTCACCTTACCCCTCTATCCAAAGATGAAGTCCTCACAATTGGTACTTCACCATATCTTTGCAACTGAGAATTCAGGCCAATCACATCTCTGACTCAGCCTCAACCATGTTCTTGTGCCTTATTCCCTATGATTCTGGAACAACATCCTATTCTTCTCTTTCTTCACTGTTCTTCTCTTCCTGCTCAGCAACTCTTCCTCTACCTTAATTTTAGTCTATTTGTTTTGACAGATTCTATCTTCTTCTGCTGTGCTCAACCTTTAAAGGGTCGTTTTTTTCTCTTTCTCTCTCTCCTAGTTTGAGTTTCATACTACACAAGGAAGTACATGAGACTTACCCAAAAGGGTATGATTTGAAGACCACAAGCTGGTGATAGAAGAGAGCCTTTTTACCAAGATATGGCCATGTTTGATCTCAATGTTGACATCAAGCATGCTGATGTTGATGCTGATGCTGATTCAGAATCAAGCTGGGCAGAAAAGGGGGTGCAAGTGCAACTTCAAAACCTTCCACCTGAAATCTCAGATTCCAGGACCTCAAACTCATCTGTGTGCAACCCTGCAGAGGAAGACTCCTCAAACAACTCCTCTCCCTTGATCTTTGACATAATGAAGAAAGAGAGACATGGCTCAGAGTTTGGTGGTGTCACTGAGAGGGGAAACAATAATAAGGAGCAAAACATGGCTCAAGAGACTGAGATAGTGACTGCTGACAAAGGAGGTGGAGTGGCTGACATCAAATTGGGGTTGTGGGGGAAGACTCAGTGGCTGAACATGTCTTTTCCAGAACCTGATGGAAAAAATGGACTCAAAAGCTTACCTCATGTGAGGAAAAATAGGAGAGGACCAAGGTCTCGCAGTTCACAGTACCGGGGTGTCACCTTCTACCGAAGGACTGGTAGATGGGAGTCTCATATTTGGTATGGTTCATCATGTTCAATTTCTAATCCAACATCTCAAGTCCTACTTTTGTTGCAATGATTTCAATTTTTTGTATTCACTTTTTATTACAAAATTCTCATCTTCATCTTGTTTTCAATCTTTTGTTATTTTCTTTTTAACAAAGTAGTAGATGATTAAACTGGTATGAGGTTGTTCCTCAGAGTAGAGTTTTGTCACTTGGTCGTAAGATTTGTTTGTATAAGATTTTTTAGAAACACTTTTGAGAGATATAATAGGAATAAAATTTGAAATAAGCTTTTTTTATGTGTTACCACTTAAAAATAAGATTTTAGAAAAGTTAATAAAAAAAACTGTTTCATTTTTTTTAATTATTTTTCTCTTTTGAAAGTGTTTTTATAGAAATTTATCTGAACATAGTTTTATTCCACTCAAATAAGATTGTTTTAAGTAGAATTTTTTTATCTATAAAAATAAAATAAATAATCTTTTGCGGCTTTTCAAAGACTTTTACTGAAAACTTTGAAAATAAATATTGTTTTTTATTTCTTGCACTGATTTTTAAAATCAGGAAATAAATTTAAAATAATAGTGTGATAAGTTTATAATTAAAAAATAAAAACAGAAAATGAAAAACAAATGTAAGCTGTGCCTTAAATATTATAAAATGTTGCTGTTACAACTGTAATTGCAGTGAAGATGCAGTGGCAAAGACCTCAAAATCTGGATATTATGGCTGCAACTGTGTGGTTGTGGACTTTTGTAAAATCTTTGTAATTATGGTTGATATCATGGTTTTGGAGGTCTTCGCAATCGCACAGTGACCATGGTTGTAGTTGCATTTGCATATAATTTTGGTAACTATCATAATTTAAAACCATGAACACAGTAACCTAGCTGTCATGAGTTGTTTGTGGACTCACTTCATTATTTTTTGCTTTTTTTTGAGTGCAGGGATTGTGGGAAGCAGGTCTATTTGGGTGAGTGGATGTTTGAGTTGGTTGGTGTTGTTTTGATTCAATAATTGGTTGGAAGCTATTTGTGTGTTGTTGGTCTTTATTTTTATTTATATTATGTATGTGTACATTTGGTTGGCTGAATTGGCCTAATTTTATTTTTCTTAGGTGGATTTGACACTGCTCAAGCTGCTGCAAGGTGAACATTACACATTTTACTTTGAGTTTGTTTAGATATAAATTTATAAGTATTTTCTTTTTAAATAAAAAGTATGTTTTAGTAGAATTCTTTTTAATAGCACTACTGATTTATATCCAAATAGACTTTTTATCTAAAGCTACATTGTTTGCAACTTTTGTATTTTGTTTTTCTTTTTTGTGACATTTGTTGACCAACTTCATATTATTCTCTGCACAGAGCATATGATAGAGCTGCTATTAAGTTTCGGGGAGTAGATGCTGACATAAACTTTAGTTTGAGTGATTATGAAGAGGATTTGAATCAGGTATGAACAAAAAAAGTTTGGTTATGACCAACTATTGAATCAATTTTATTTGAACTTTCTGTGACAATTAAATTCATAATTTGATTGGGATTTAGATGAAAGGTTTGAGTAAGGAAGAGTTTGTGCTCTTACTTCGTCGACAAATCAATGGAATCTCAAAGAGAAGTTCAACATACAGAGGTGTGTTAGCTCAAGCAGAGCCACGAATGGGACCATTTCTTGGCAAGACGTGAGGACTGCTATTTCAAGCCATAAGTCTTGTTCAAATTTCTGTCATTTCTTCTTTTATGCAATGTTTAATGTCACATGTGGTAAGATGGTGACAACTTATATAAAAGGTGTGTTTGAATAAAATTATTACGGAAACATTTTCTGGAGAGAATTTTTTTCTTAATAAATTATATTAAGTTTATACATAAGTTAATTTTTTTTAAAAAAATTATATTAACTTTTTTAAAATTTTATTTTTAATCCATCAATAAACTAGTTTTATCTTATAAAGAATTTATTTTAATTTTTTATTTCTTTTTCATAGAAGTTCTTCTAGAAAAATTTATTTAAATACCTCCATATGAAGATAACGTTGAAACAACTTCAACAAGAATTTTGTACTCTTTTTCATATACACATGGTTAATTTGGTGTAAATATGGAGATAAATTTGCATATATCACTAGTAGTAAATTGTTATTTAGATACCAATATTTATTAGTTTTAGTTTGACTGATATTGTGATTTTTTTCATATCTCAAGTTTTGATTTTGATAAAAAGAAATTGATATTAGAAAAAATTTAAGGGCGAAGCCGGTAGATGCATTACCTTTTTATCTGAACAATACTATATTCACATAATTTTTTCACAATTTATACATACTTTTCCTTCGAGTCTCTCTCTCAAATGCATTCTTCATCTCATCCCACATTTTTGCTCTTCTCTTCCTATTTGTATTATGTAAAAGTTGTTCAGTAAAAATTGACAACCACAATTACCTTTTTTGTATCCTAACATGATAAGTATACATGGATTTGTGTGCCACTGGCAGGCTTATCCAACTGAGAAAGCTCCAATAGTTCTTTGTTGGGATGATGAATTTGTTGTCCTAACTAGCATATAGTTATGTTTATTTCTTTTTTGATCATTAGCACATAGTTATATTTGATGTAAGGAGTTTAATACAACATATTTTCATTATATATATATTTTTATACATGCAGATTATACCCCAACTCATCCATCAAGTGTGATGATGGAAATGTGGAGGCCAGTTTAAAGCCTTATTCTTATAAGGAAAAAATAATTGCAAGTTCCAGCTTGGCAGGTATGAAGAAATGGTGTATATTTGAGTCATTGAAAACATTGATTCATTATTAATTATTTATATAAATAAAGTTGATGTTACAATTGAAGCAGGCACTTGCGATGATCTTGATTTGAGCCTAGGAATTTCTCCATCTTCTAAAAAACTGAAGAATAATGATCATGGAGGAGGGTTTTCCTTTGGATACATGGCTTGTAAGATACCCAAGGAAAGAGGAACAATGGTACTACTCTATGCTTTCCTTCTTGTTGCAATATTTTTCATGGGTAGATTCACTTGCACAGTGGCAAGTCTAAATATTTACTATATATGCTATTTAATTTCCTTTCATATTTTTTATTCATCAGAGTTAATAAAAGAAACGCAAAAAAAAAAAAAAGCAAATTACATACTCTTGTAAAAGCAGTGGCTATTGCATAAGCAAATTACAAGTAACTAAGGTCACAAGGGCAATCCTTGAGAACCTCCACTGGCCCAATCCTAGGATAAGTTTTGAATTTTGTTAATTTAACTGTTGAATTGAAAATTTTAATTCAATAAATGGAACATATAAAATTATATACTTTTTTTTACCACAAAATTATAAACTTTTTAAAAATTAGTTGATATATTTTATTAATTTCACTGTTTGATTGAAAGTTCAACATAAGTAAATTATGTATTTGTTAGATTTGAATTTATGAGATTTATTCTTCTATCGGTTTACTACATAACTTGGTCAATTTTGTCACATGTAGCAAACTACACCAGGAGTGTCACATCAAATGTGTGTTTGCCAGTTAGTCAATAGTAACACCTCTAGTGCAAAGTTGGTCAATTTGGTCACATGTAGCAAATTACAAGAGGCGTGTCACATCAAATGTGTGCTTGCCAAGTTAGTCCACATTAACACCTCTATTGCATAGTTGGAAGGATCTATTCAGTTTAACAAAGACTCTGATCAAATTCAAACATTTTAAATTTAGGAGAGAATTGAAACTAAACTAATTTGAGAGATAAAAATACATTTTATTCTACATTTTTTTTTTAAATTATGTTAGTAATATAAAGGATTTATCGATTTTATTAATGATTAATTTTTATAAAAAAATCAAACAAACCATTTTTAGTGAATTTCTCTCTCAATCAAGTTTTTATATATATATATAAAATTCGAATCCTAAATTTATTTAAAAAAAATCAAGTTCATATTTTACATTGTATTTAGTTATTTTTTTCACAGCATTGAAATGTAGATATATTTTCACTTTTCAATACATAAAATTCAAAAACAACAAAATTATTGTTTTGAAATAAAAATGGATTAAGTTGAACTCAACTTTTATTCAAACACATACTTAACCTGAATACTATACATATATAATGATTAAATTTTATTAAATTTGTTTTGAAAATAATTATTTATCAAAACTTACTAAAACATTTGCATGGCTTGCTCTTTTTTATATATATCAGTCTTAGATTTGTACAAATGGTGAAGAATATTCAAGATATCTAATATGCTAGTTTTAGGCTGCTTCCAAACAAAGCAGTGCACTTTACAACATTTGAATTGATATCATTTATGTCAGGAGGGGGCCATGGTGGACAGAATAAGAAATGTTCCTTTGCAAAAGATTTCCAACTTGACTTGGCAACTTTGCAGCAATGGCAGCATTGCCTCAATGCCATTGCAACCAAATGCAGCATCATCAGGATTCGTCTCTTCTTCTAGCTGTCTCATCAACCACACTTCCAATCAGCAACCATATTAATTATGCCAACAATTTGGCATTGGCTCAACCACAGAACTCACCACTTACTCCCCAAGGTAGGGCCAGAGTTGTTGGAACCACTAGGGACTCAGCATATTTACTCTTTGCTTTTTGGAAGATTGGATATGAGCAATAGTACTTTATATTATAACCATGTGTATCTATCATATTCTAGTGATTTCCTCAATTATGAATGTATTTAATAATGGCAAGCATTGATTACAATGGCCAACCAATAACCTATAGTCATTATTGTGATTTAGAATAAAATATTGCCTTGTGTAAGAGGCCTATTTTAATGGAGAAGATAATCAAAGGTTGTTATAGCAAGCTAGGATTTTTTTCAATCGGAAATCCCAGCCCTTGGATCTTAACCCCTTTTGATTTGGATGTAAAATTATTGTCAACCAAAACAACACATTGTCCTGAATAATATTTTACTTTTCCTTGCCATTCTAGTGATTATATCTTTATAAATTAATAAGAAGTTAAGGACAGAATAATACATGTTCATCCAAAAAAAAAACTAAATACACAAGTATACTCGTGATCACTGCATATGATGCATAAGCATCTTTCAGTGTTAAATAAAGTAAAATTCCATGCATGGCATTTTATAGAAAAGTTAAAATAATTTTTTTTTTCAATAATTTCACTTATTTTACTTTTTAGTCCACATAATTTGAAATAAATATTTTTAGTTTTTATATTTATCTCTTTTAATTATTTGTAGTCTCTATAATTTAATATACATTTTTTTGTTTTTACACATGTATTTTTTAATCATGTTACTCTTTATCGTTATTTTTTTTGTTATGTTGTCTGTTTTATATTTATATGGTAGATATCTTTAATTCTTTAAGACTAAAAAATAGGATTTCTCCATAATGAGTATCGTATGTGAGGATACAAAAGAGACACGAAATATTCTTAACTATAATTAATGTTACAGTTAATTATAATTAACACGTTCTTATTGATAACAAAAAATAAAAATTTGTTTTATTTTGTTATTTCCATTTTGTATATAACCATGCATTTACTCTTTTGTAAGCAAGTTGTTACTGATCAATAATATCACAAGGTTCCATCATTCGTTTCTTTCTCTCTCTCTCTCTCTCTCTCTCTATATATATATA